GCTACGATCCGCTGAGGCTAAGCCTTTGTTCTATAGATTTGTCCGCGTAATGCGGACTTTTCCCTGTCAGGTTGCGCGTGCAAGGGGGGCGGATCGTCTAGGCCGAGAGCGTTGAGATGCGCCACTTGTGCCACTTGTGCCTGCGTCGCGCCACTTGTGCCTGCGTCGCCCCTTACTTCTGCCTGCGTCAGTGGTGACGCCTACTTCTGCCCTTGCTTCAGAACGCCTACAGCGTCAACGTGCGTCAGCATTTGGCGCCTGACCGACCTGCCTTTTAGTTTCGCAACCAGTCGCGGGTCACCAGGGCGCCGGGATGTGCAAGGGGGCTCGTCAAGCTTTCCTCCGGCGTAACGCAGGGCCGCACCTACACCTACATTGTTACCGCGAGACGTCGAGATGGGTCACGTGGTCTTCAACCACGTGTTTACCATTGCTCCAAATCGTACGATGTCACGCAAGCTGTCGACGTGGAGGCCGCCTTGCTGAAAAATTCACGCGCTCTGGCAGGCTGGAGCACGCTCGCCGGCGTCCCGTGCACGCACGGCCCGCTCCAACTCTGAATCAGATTTTGGAGCTCCTTCATCCTCACGCTTTCGCCACACAATCTTCACGATTATGACGCCACGCACACCACCCTAGTTGGATCTCAACCGCACGCATTCTTCCACACACGACCATCACTTCAGCAAGGCTTCACAACACTCATCAGCTTGATTTGCATCCAAAACGAGCGAAGTCCTGACCTTCATCGAAGAGCTGAGACTACTTAGGGCCTCAATTCAGCATGGCGTGCCCTGGTGAGCTTTGCTCCGCCACCTTCTGACGAGCTCTTTCCAACCCCTGATCGCTGACGCAAGGGTTGGCTGGCTTTGCACATATCTCACGCAGTCAATCATCCAGCATTTCACGCGCTCATCTTTGTACTGGGCATCATAGTCGTGCTCTTTAGACACGTCAAGGGCGCCGAGCTACCAAACGCTTCCTTCATGCTTGCTGCTGCTGAAGCTGCTGCAGGTCGAGCGGGAGGAGAAGCTTTTACGCAAGGTCCTGTGATGCTGTGACGCTCGCGGGAGGAGAAGCTATTACGCAAGGTCCTCTGGCGATGCTGTGACGCTCGCGGAACTCCATCTCGCCGCTGAGGTTAGTACGTACGCTTTGCGGTAACTCTCTAGTTCGGTGATAGCGAAAGGAGCGGGAGCGGAACCGAAGGCACCGGCAGGGCGGGGTGGAGACCTTTTGCGAGCACTGAGGCGCCAACTTGGCATATGTAGAGGTCGCCGTCCATCAGCAGTGATGGCGATCTAGGGGCGGATGTAGACAAGTGCGAGCGCATGGTAGGGCGAGTAGAATGCAGGGTTGTTGCTGTACTCCTAAGCCGCCGCCCGGCCGTATGGATTCTTGAGTCAAAGTGATGTTCAGCTAGCTGACTCCTCCTGACTCCTCTTCACCGCTTTTCTGATCCTAGCAACGAACGAGATGACGTTGTGAACTGCTTCGCTTCCTTCACTATACCAACGGCCCCTTCTGTGTAATATCACTGGTAGCATCCATGATCATCTTCAACATCACCGAGTAGCATTCGCAACAGCCCTCCTCAGACTCATCACCTTACAATGCGATGATCACCGAGTTGCATTCGCAACAGCCTTCCTCAGTCTCATCACCTTACACACGCATCGCATTGATTTCAACACCTGGATGCAGAGGACGGCTTGCGCGTGCGTGGGCCACTAGAGAGCGCCGTTGTGGGGTAACATTTGCTATCTGAGAGCATCAGTGCCACGAGGCTAGGATTGCGTGATTCTGACGCTCGTGAGGCTGGCGTTGCATGTTCGAATCGTGTCAACGAAATTCAGACGGAATGTCTTGACCACCCTCATCTTTGGTCGGCACTCGTCCGTGGTAGGCGACGTAGGACTCCTGGCGGCAGACACAGCGGAGGGTCAGATTGCGCTGGCAGTTGGTGCTTGTGCCGCCACATTGCTTTCCTTGGGGACTGCATACGCAAGTCCGCTCCGTGTACTCACTTGCCACTTTTTGTAGTCCGCCCAATACTTTTCCAGAGCTTGCTCTTCTGCTGTCTTCTGCTTGATTGGTGCAGGGGCCGCTGTGGCAGGAACGAAGCGCTTCTGCTCAGCTGGAGGGGGTGGTGCGTAATCGTCACCAGGAGCTGTGGTGCCAGAATCATCAATCGGTCACTCAGCGGCAAAGACGTGATCGAGGGCCTTCTCGATATCTCACTCACGCGGTGGGGCTGCATCTTCGGGTGGAGGCGGGGGTGCCGGATCATCAGGCTGGGGTGGCATGCCACCTTGAGCGTGACCTCCGCTCATTTGTCCCTGAGCTCCGTACCAGCCGGCTTGGCCTTGCTGCTGGTATGCGCCATAAGGCTGCTGTTGTTGTTGCTGAACAGAAAGAGCGGGTCGGCACGATGAGGTGACGTCAGCAGGCGTGCACAAAGTGCATTGTAATGCGAGTGCACTCACTCCCGCAGCTCCAGCAAATGGAGGCACCCAGACGCCTTGCTGTTGCAGCACAGCGTACGCTTTCGCATACTCGTTCTTGACTGCATCGAGCAAATCTTCTGCCAGTTCTTTCGCTGCCTTTACCTGTGCCTCATCAGGTCCTCTGCCGTCAACAGCGTGACGCGTGCAAGACAATGGGTACTCAGCCATGAAATCACGCGTGGCGTCGCAGTAGCCAGCAAGTCTCGAAGTTGCCTGACTCACGCAATGCTGACGTGCATCTTCTCATCGCCTTCCCTACCCAACTCGGATTCGATGAAGCCACTGCCTTGACCCTTGATCTGCACGCGCGTACCGGTCTCCCCTTGAATGTACTTGACAAAGAGACCGCCGGGTCCAACGACCTTTGCCCGTACGTTGAAATTTCTCAAGGGCTCCAAGTCGATGTACACCTTGTCTTCAGGCCATCTTCTCTGCAAGTGGGGAACAGCAGACGCGCGTGCCGGATGAGTCAGAACGTGTGCGATGACATGTGCAGCAGAATGACTGCCACGGCACGACATCGCCAGGTGTGTACGGTGCCGCCCCATGCACAGGTCACTTGCTGGACGGCACCGGTATGGTTGGCCGCACAGCAAGGCAGGGCAGTGCGCGACGAATGCCTTGGACGTTTTACAAACTCACTCTCTCAGGCGGTGGTCGCTCCTCCCTCTCTTGCCTGTGTCGACGAGGGTCGGGGTTGAGGTCAGGTAGTTCCTGTTTGATGAGCTCCTCCACAGCAGCGATGGCCTTGTTCAGGATTTCTTGCGAGGTGGCAGCAATATGAAGGTAGAGGGGAGGATCCTGAGGCGTGGCCATACTCTTGTCCGGATACCAGGTTCCCTTTGTGCTCACGCTCGCGCCCGTCTCTTGGAAGAGCTGCGTCTGAGTCTGTCCTTTGGTCAGCATATAGCGATTCCTCTGATCGTTGATCTCAATGTCGTGCGTGAATTCGGGTTCGTGATCCTCCTTCCTCTTGCCTTCCCCATCCTTTAGCGGTGGAGAGCTCGCATTGTGGCCGCTTCTGTCTACGCCTCCCGGAGGCGATGCGGCGCCAGCTGCCTGTCTCTGGGAGAATTGCGCAGCGATCTTGGCCGCGGCAGCAGCAGCTGCTGCTGCTGCTGATGCGCTGGTCTCGTTGGAGCCGTCGTCGGGAGCAGCGTCCCACTTGCTCGTCCTGTCCGCCATGTCTTGTAGCAAGACGACAAAATGAGCGGCAAGCAAAGCTCGTGTGCAAGGCTCAAAGCTGATTGGTAGGCTGCTGCTGCTTCAGCTCTTGGCGGAAGGAGTCGATCGTGACCAGGGGTGCGTATAGATGCTGAGGCTTGTCGCTGTACGTGGTGTTGGTGACTAAGGAGACATGCAATGGTCGCTGAGCGTAGGTAGGCGGTAGTGAGGCTCAGCCATTAATAATAATCGTGTGCATCTTCAATCAAATTCTTGTCAAGAATCTGCCCTTTGTAAGTCTGTTCGATTCAAGTCGCACTTCACGTGACTTTTACTCGTCTGTTGCAGTCACGTTATAACAGAAAGAAAAGATCGATTGGTGATTTTCTTGGATTCCTATTGAAAAGCGCGCGCGCAGATGGATGAGAGCACGTCACCGATGCTGCATGGAAGCGACAGCTGCTGCTGCGCAGAGTCGCGATGTGTCGGATTGGTATGTAGACGGCACCGCCTGGTCGTGCCGGAGTTGAACTGATGAATAAATCCAGGAATCGTGAATAATAGCGGTCAACATTGCGAGCAATCAATCACACAATTTGAATGGAAGCATACAAGCTGCTTAAAGCCGGTGCGCTCTAGCAGCAGATAGCCAAGCAGCCACATCCTGCCGGCCGACCAATCACGAAGGCTACACACAGCAACCACTGCCTGATTCAGCTCCCATATCTGCCACCCACACTAAATCACCCTCATCATCACCACCATTCATCATCCCCAGCAGCACCTTTACTGGAGCGCACTTCGGGCAGCAACCAGCTCATCATAGCGAGCCTTCTCCCATACCCCTCCGGCGGACTATCAATTCGATCAGATAACGAGTCCTTCGGCCTTCTCTGAAGACGCTGACCGGTCGGCCTGCCTGCCCGTCCGTCTACCTACCTGACCCGCCAACGTCTCGCTCCCGCTGCATACGTACACACTCGACCGCAGTCATTCGCCTTGCCAAAAGTGACTGAGCGACATGTCGAGTAACCTGGTTGTCATCGGCTCTCCGGAGCAGTTCACTTCGCTGATGCAAGAGGATCTCAATCGAGTCAGCCTCCTGAACTTTTGGGCGCCTTGGGCAGAGCCGTGCGAGCAAATGAACAAGGTGGTGGAAGAGCTGGCCGTCAAGTGGCCTACTGTCCTCGTCTTGCAGGTGAGTGTCGATGAATGCAGCAGCCTGATCACCTGATTGAGATTCGCTGCTCACCCACACACCTCACCTGCCGTCGCCCGCACTACGACCTGCCTCCTGGCTTGCAGATTGAAGCCGAGGCGCTTCCCGACATTTCAGAGTCGTTTGACATCGAATCCGTGCCTTCCTTTGTCCTTCTCAAAGGTCACACTCTGCTCTCGCGCATCATTGGAGCCAACGCCTCTGCATTATCCGCGGCGGTCGCTTCCCATGCCGCTCCTTCGAACGGCAACGGCGCTGCGTCTGGACCCCTCTCTCACACTTCTGCTCCCATTCAGTCTGCTCAAGGCTACGAGGAGCATCACGTGCCCAAACAGGAATCAGACGAGGAGCTGGCATCGAGGTGCAAGGGCCTGATGGAGAGGGAGAAGGTGATGCTGTTCATGAAGGGCAATCCCGATCAACCCCGCTGCGGTTTCAGCCAAAAGACGGTTGCCCTGTTGAGGCAGGAAGGCGTTCGATTCGGCAGCTTCGACATCCTTCAGGACGAAGCTGTCAGGCAGGGTGAGTACTAGTATGGCAGTCAAGACACGCACTCTGAAGCGATCGCTCACGCGCGAAGTGGCTCAACATGCTCTCCCATTTGCAGGTCTCAAGAAGTTGAACGACTGGCCCACATTCCCGCAGATCGTTGTCAACGGGGAGCTCATTGGGGGGCTCGACATTCTCAAGGTACGTCTACCGCTGCATCTTGCACGAGCCGATGGATGCTCTGCTAAATCTGTGCCAACGTCTGGTCTGCCTCGCTCATTCGCACACTTAGGAACAGATCGAGACGGGCGAGTTCCGCGAACTCTTGGAAGGGGCTTGACCCCACCGTTCTTTCGGATAATCTGCAGCGCCACTCAGCGATAGTGAAAGAAAAGGTGCCTACTGGCCCTCTCCACGCTTTCCGTTAGTCAGCCTGTGGCAGATACTCCTTGTACAGTACGAAACATGAACTCGTGCGCAAGCATCGAGCACTCAAGAGCCTGCGATGTGCCTATTTGCTTGCACCGGCAAATGACCTGTTCGACTGTCACAGCAATCATTTCAAGCTGCTTCCCTCACGACATGGGATGTCTCAATGTGCAGAGATAGGCAGGGCGGTCGCGGCGGCTGGGTCCCCAGAGACACCCGCCGGCCCTCGCCCGCCAGAGGGAGGCTGGAACGCTCATAGCGCGCGCCGGCCAAATGCGCTTCAGTCTTCGCAGAACTGCCGCGTCATGGCTGTAATTCACTTTCTCCCACCTTTGCCGCTCGCGACTTGCTCATTTTGGCATTCAATTGAGCTGCATTTGCTTGTTGTACTGCGGAGGTGGCGGCAGCATTGTGCACTTTGAATTGCTCGGTGCTGCTGCTGCTGCTGCTGCTGATTCAGCCGCGATGTGCTCGTTTGCGATGGCGAATGTGCACCGCATACATGCACCCAGACTCAAACTGTGACTCTGGCGAGTGTGAAAAGCAATCAGACCAGCGTTACGATCGCGTGTGCAATTCAGAGTCTGAAGAGTTGCGAGAAGATTTGTGCGTCGCAGCTCATCCCCGCCACGCGCGCAAAAGGATCGACGTCGATGTAGCCGGGGTGGGGTCAGCAGTCTGCTCAGCGCTTCTTTTCGCTTGCGGCTTATCACCGGACTTGTCGGCTGCGCACTCGTCCTTCTCTCAGCCTCGCTTGCGTTAGAGACTTCAAAGGGAGGAGCTGAGCGCTGCGGTCCCTGCTGTGTGGTGATGCTCAGCCTAGGCTCGTGGTTTTGAAAGCGTACGCAGCCCTTCGTGTTGGTGATTTACCATTCAACTTGATATTCTTGACAGGGCGCGCGACTGTTGTGAGTTGGGACTTGGGCCTGGCTGTGTAAGTCCGTGCCTCCGCGCAGGCTGAACCCGGCGCGAGCGCAGCGTGCAATCAAATAGCAAATATGTTGAATCGGTGTGAGTGAATCTATATCGCTGAAGGTGCGCCTATACCTACTTCTCTTCACCTTTAGCCACGACGCGCGTACCAGTCTTTGAGTGCATGATCGAGAGCCGCGCGCGTGGGTCAGGCGCGCGCCTTGTAAGCGATGTAGACTGATCGAGATTCAATTCGATGAGATCGAGATTTTGGTTGTGGCAGGGCGAGGGCATACATGCAGGCCTGCATGATTTTCCCCCTCTTGCTCGCCCGCCCATACGTAAAACACCGGCATATCCTGCCGCATCGACCATCGATCCAGCCACCTCATCCTCTGTTGCAGCGTTGCAGCAGCCAGGCAAGCGACCGACAAAGACGACAGACACTTCCTCCGCTGCTCTTTTCCCTCATCACCGTCCTCTGGTCCATTTCCCTCCCTGCACACGCTGGCTCACACTCCCACAGTCGGCCCACACCGCCCCAAGCAAGAAGAGAAGAAGAGAAGTGGCCGTCACACTGTGATCCCCTTTCATCACTCAGCACGAATCATCCCAGCTCCTGGAGCACATTCAACCAGCGTTCTTTGTCTTCAAATACTCCCCCTTTCCGACATGGGCTTTGGCAAGGAAGCTCGCATCATCACCTTGTTGGTGATCGATGTCGTCTTCTTCCTCGTGGAAATTATTGTGGGTGAGTCGTGGCTTGACACCTGCTGCAATTCCAACCCATCGGCCCCGGCTACCCCTCTACCCTGCATCTCAACAGTGGCTGTGGCGAGGCAGACCAAGCTGACTTAATTACTTCTCGCTTGAATCAAGGCTATTCGGTGGGGTCGTTGGCTCTGGTCGCCGATTCCTTCCACATGCTCAACGATGTGATGAGTTTGGTTGTCGCCTTGTACGCCCTGAGAGTGAGCATCTAGGCCCGCTGCATCGTCTCGATCTGTTCAGCTCACAAGGAGACCCTCGCTTCACATCAACGCAGCTCTCTACGCGCGATCACGCCAAGGATCCGAGATACTCTTATGGGTGGCAGCGGGCCGAAATATTGGGCGCGCTCGTCAATGGTGTCTTCCTCTTGGCGTTGTGCTTCAGCATCTTTATGGAGGCCATCGAGCGAGCTGTCAACATCACCGGTGAGCTGGCACGAGGTGTGCGATTCGATCTTTCGCTGACCCCTCTAGCATACACGCACCCTGGCCTCGTGATCAGAGGTCTCCAACCCCAAGCTCGTGGTGATTGTTGGCTCCTTGGGGCTGGCCTCAAACATTGTTGGTCTATTCCTGTTCCATGATCACGGCCACTCGCATGGTGGGCATTCCCATGGACACTCCCACGGTACCAAGGCCCTACCTTCATCCACCAGCGGAGCAGTTTCTACTGCGGCCGACAACACCGAGGAGCGTGCGGAATCGGAAGCCTCGGCGGCTACCGTGGTCGCTTCACCTTCTGCTAGTGGACGTAGGCGCCAGGACAGCGTGTCATCGCTCTTCGGTCACCCTGCGACCACCAGAGCCTATGTGGTGAAAGCTGCGCAGGAGCTGGGCTACGAGCAGCCGGCGCGGGGAGAGAGGGAGCGTCTGAATACTAATGCCGCGACCGGTTCGTCCACCGGCTATGGCTCAACAGTCCATGCTCACGACATCGAAAGCGGCCACGCCGCTAGTGCCACCAAGAAAGGCCGAAGCTGGCTTGGTCAGAAGAGCAAAGCTCACGCGCATGCTCACGACGAGGATGGCAACGAGCACAGTCAAGAGCATGGACACAGTCACGACCACAGTGACGAAGAGCATGGGCATTCGCACAATCACGGCGGAGACGGTGGCCACTCGCACGGTGGCCATGGCCACTCTCACGGATCGATGAACATGCAAGGTGTCTTCCTACACGTGCTTGGAGATGCTCTTGGAAACGTGGGGGTCATCGCATCAGGATTGTTCATTCTGTTGACGACGTACTCTTGGCGGTTCTACACCGACCCAGCGATCAGCTTCTTGATTACCATCATCATCTTCCACAGTGCCTTGCCACTGGTCAAATCTGCCAGCTTCATCTTGTTGCAAGGCGTGCCTCCCTCTGTACCCTTGGACGACGTGCGGGCTCAGCTGGTCGAGACTCCGGGGGTTCTGAGCATTCACGAGCTTCACGTGTGGCAATTGTCAGAATCTACCATCATTGCCAGCATGCACGTCCTGGTAGACTGCGGACCGGGACAAGACGAGCGGTACATGCAAATCGCTCAGGAGCTCCGAACGATTCTGCACAGCTGGGGAGTGCATGCCGCCACCATTCAGCCCGAATTTGTGCGGGGAGGACTCAAGACGGCTGCGAGGATGAGCGGAGTCAACGTCGCCCCCGAGGAGACGGACGCGCAGGGCCGGCTTATTACAGAGGAAGGAACTTTGGTAGAGAGCGAATTGGTGAGTGCATCGTCGAGCTCTGCTGCCGCTCTAGCATGGCGGTGACAGGATGCTGACTTGCTACTGACATCGTTCCGAACGCGATCAGTCGCGCAACGAGACGGCATGCCTCATCACCTGTGGACCAGACGCGTCCTGTGCTGGTGATTCTTGCTGCCCACCACCTCGCAGTGCTACTAGCGCAGCCGTGGCGGCAGCGGCAGCAGCGACACCCACCGCATCGATTACACCTCGAGCGCGATCGACGCGGAGTGGACACGAAGGACACGATCACTCGCATTGAACATCTTGCACACATTTTGTGGCACGCTGCTGCTGCTCTGCTTAGGGCTTCGGGCATACGGGCTTGTCCAAATTTCTTCACTTGGACATGCACAAAGTCGTCGTGCTGACCGTGGCTGGCCGGAAGCCCTGAATTCTTGCGTCAGCTCTCGTCCGCAGAATAGGAATGCACTGTGCTCTGACGGAGAGCACCTTCTCGGACTGACGATTTAACCGCTTCATTGCACACATTCTTGATCTCTTCTCTTTCCAATTTTCCCCTTACTTCTGCTGTAAACTTATTGTGAGGTGTGCAATGGCCAAGGTGCTTCCCTTTAGCTTTTGACCGCGTGCCATGGCTGGCAAGGAGAGGCATGCGCTTCTGCTGTAGAGACGCGTTGGACGCAGGTGTTCGTGGTCGTCGTCGTCGCCATCAGGACCGCGCGACATCAGCTCAGCATGGGCTGACCGGCCCGCTGCAAAAGGAGTCACGAGTCGCGAGCATGCTGTCTGTCTGCGCACCCCGTGAAAACAAGCGTGACCACAGCACTGATTGGAGGCGCGAAAAGCTCGTGCGACAGGTAGAGACGCCGACGGCGGGCACGAGTCAGCTAGCATATATCCTACGGAAAGTCAGAATGGATGAAGAAGCCTTTCTTGCCGTACGCCTCTTGACCACTCTCTCACACAACAAGGCCGAATGAATACCTGACGGCTCGATTGCTACACAAAGGAATTCAGCTGCACGCGCGCGGGCGCTGATGCGTGCGTGGAGGTGGACAAGGGGTGGGTGGAGCCGCGGCGCCGACAGCACGGACCACTCACATTATTTGAGCAAGCTGCTGCTATTATATAGTCGAATGGCAGACATGACTCGTCGTGCGCAGCTGCATGTAACAGTATAATAGGAACGGGAACGATGATTGCATGCGCTCGAGCCAATTGTGAATTTTGAATGGAGCAATCACACTCGATCGCGACTCACGATCGGGACAAAGAAGGACTGACTCACACTGCGTGACTGATGACGAGGCTGAGGTGCACGCACAGCACGCGCGTGTGCATGGCATGCAATCACGAATGGACCCACAGCCGCGCCCTGCACCGCCTGTCAGCTAGAGACCAGCAACCACCATGATACCATCCACCTTGGCGCACCGCAAGGTGCAACAACGGCAAGAGAAGAGCATATCAAAGCAAAAGGCGAGCGAATAAAGCAGACGGCGACTCGGAAGAGACCTGTGTAGAGCAGGCTTGACTCAAGACGCGAGCCTTTTCCTTTTGTCTCCGCTTGCTGAGCCTATGAACGCGGTCGCATAGTCGAGTGACAGCCTTGAATGCTAGCGATTAAGCATACATGCTCTAACACAAGCATTCACTGTCCGTCCCTCGGCGCAGAGCTCAGCCGGCGTCCAAGTGGAGATCGTCGAGCTCATGCTGGACAAGACGCAGCTTCTCCAGTCGTGAGTCTTGAAAAGGGCGAGCGCGTGCAACGCAACGCAACGCAGGACAAGATCCACATCTGGCTGCCTCACCGCACTCACACTCCGCAGCAAGATGAGAACAACGCGGCCGCATGTTTTGAGCCTCGTTCGTGCGTCCATCAGACACTTTCAGCTGCTGTGCCGAAGGCTCGCTCACAGCTGGACAGCGACGGCCGCGGTAGATACGCGTGCAGAGCTGGGGTGGTAATCAAGGTAAGGTGATAACGGGCTGGGCGTCGCACCACACCCGTTGCAGGTACACCATACTCGTGAGTCACAATTGATCAAGCAAGAGTGTTGAGAGTGGTCGGGTGCACATGCAAGCATCTAAACATATGCGACCGCATAGCATAGCAAAGCAAAGCGGCATTCACACTCCAACAAAGGCGTCTACACACACTCACGACTCATATCCGCCCAAGGATCTACCATGCAGCTGCCAAGGATCTGTTAGCTACAGCTACCGGTGGCATATCCTTACCTGCCTTCGAAGCAGCACCAGGCTGCTTGGCTGATGCTGTGCTGCTGCTGCAGGCTTTCCTCCCCCGCTTCTCTTTTTGCCCACTGCTGCCCGGTCGACCTGCAGACTGCTTAGTAGCATGGCTGACATGCCATTTAATCACACCAGCGCTACCTACTTCTTTGAAGCCAGACCTCTTTCTTTGTGGCCCATCTCCCCATCACCTGCTCGCACGGCGCTTCCTCGCCACGTCGCCTCCCAGCTCTCGCTCAACCAGCCAGCTCACGTCTTTCCCCTGCACCCCATCCGTACTCGCAGCAAACAGAGCTGCGCATCGTCCCTGTTTCGTACACAGCGACCAAAAGGAGGTCTCCGGTCAGCATCCTGGTCCACTCCACTGCAGCACCCAAGCGGTCTGCCACAAAAGCATCAAATCTTGACCGCATCGTTTGATCTGTTGAGCTCGACGCTACGCATCATGCAGGTCTTGCCACTCTACGCCCTTGCCCTCGTGGTACTGTGCGCGCTATGGTGAGCAGAGTGGCAGCGCTCTCCCCCGCTGCGTGAAGTGCAAGCAGCTGACAGGCAGACAACATGCACCCGCATCTTCACCCTCGACAGCAGCAGTAATGTCACAGCTCAGCCCGCGCAGCTCGTCCCACGCCGCTATGGTGAGCGGGCGACTGTTTCGAATCTGGAAGGACTGCAACGTCGGGGCTTGATGTCTCGTTTTGCACGTCGAGTGTCGCCGCCTGGCCGTCAAGCCGAGGCAGACGACACTCAGAGAGCCCCAAGTGACCAGGTGGCCTTGCCGGTGAGTGCATGACTGTCTAGCTGGAGCACAACACCGACATGCTGACCTGCATCCTTGCTAGCTTCAGCGGCGCTCCACATCGGAAGGGAGCGGCGAAGGCGTGGACAATACTGTGCTCCTTGCCCGGCAGGACGCCGAGGTGCATCTTTCGCTCGCAAGGAGAGAGACCAAGGAGGAGGAGGGCGTGGGATCTCATAGCTGGAGAAGTGTGGTCAGAGACCTTGCGCCAAGGGCAAGAAAATTCGCTCGAAGAATACGTCATAGGTCAAAGTGGAACAAGTCGGGCAGCACGCACACCCACGCGCAGGCGCAAGCGCAAGCATTCGCCCATGCTTCAAGCGAAGCTAGCATATCCAGTAGCAGTGGTGACAAGAAGCACAACAAGCATCTCCACAAACACGGACGCGGTAAGCATTTCAAGCATGGCCATCAAAAGGAACCTTCACACTCCGAACAGCCAGCTGCGCAACCTCCCTCGCTCCAAGGTAGGTCTTGTCGAGCTCCTTTGCATCAGATCGAGGGAGGTGGTGGCGGCCACGATGACCATAGCGACAGCGGTAGGCATGCTGGCGCAAGCCATGATCACGGTCGACACGGTCACGATGAAACCGTTGGTGGCGCTGACCGCAGCGGCAACAATTTTGATGACGATTTCGATGTCGATGTCGATGACAGTGTCGATGACGATGGCGACGACGGAGACGATAGCGATGACGGTGACGGTGACGATGCCGACTACGGTGACGGTGACGATGCCGACTACGGTGACGGTGACGATAACGATAACGATGGCAATGACGATGACGATGACGATGGCCATACCGGGCACGAGAAGGGGGGCAAAACCGCCCCCGAGGACACGAGGTCCCCCGCCGTCAACGACCAAAGTGCCTCCAATAACGAGCACCCTGCTGACACGAGTTCTCCGACTGAAGCAGGCAAAGGGAGCAAGGAACAGCCGAGCGGTGACATGGGACTTTACAGCGCCGGAGGCAACGGCGGCACCGTGAGCGCCCGCGGATATCTCAAGTACCACAATTATTATCGCAAAAGGCATGCAGTACAAGAGCTGTCTTGGCAGACCAAACTTGAAGCTGCTGCTCAAGAGGCTGCCAACCGATGCAAGTTCGAGCATACGCATGGGTGAGTCGTCTCTTGTTTCCTACTTTTCGGAAGCCAGGAACGAGCCAAGGCTCACCGTGCCCTGTCTGCGATCAGTCAATGGGGCGAGAACATCTATGTGAGCAGGCTCGTCGCATGCGCACAATGTCAGGCAGCGCGGATAGATGACAAGACGCATGAACGTTACCTAGGCCTCCACCAACGATCCGCCTGTCTCCGAGGTCATTGGGAGTTGGTACAATGAGGTAAGTGCCAGTGCGTCGTCGGGGATTGAGACTGAGCTGTCGAATATCTTGCACAGAGCATCTGCTCATCTGCTCATCTCCTTATTATCGGTCCGGCGTCTGCGTGATACGCAGATTACCCAGTGTGAGTCACGAGCAGCACCTGACAAGTCTCGGGCAATGCACTCACACGCTCGGCCTACAACCTGCTGTTGCAGACGACTTTGGAAGTGGCGGCTTCTCAGAAGCGACGGGACACTTCACCCAGATTGTCTGGAGTGACACTGACGCCGTTGGCTGCGCCAAAGCAAAGTGCTCCGGCAACGACTTGGGCTTTGGTTCCTCCTTCAGTGAGGGATACGTCGTCTTCTGCGAATACAATCCTCCCGGCAATGTGCTAGGAGAGTTTCAGCAAGAGGTGGCCGCTCCGCAAGCTGCCAGCGATCGAGCTGTGCGCACGAAGAACAACGGCAGCAAATCTTCTTCGCGGCGTTCGAGCTACCGAAAGTCGCAGTCATGGCATAGCGGCACCACATAAGATTGGGAACAGTGGCTTGAGTAGTACCCACCAGCTTCAGCTTCAACAAAGTACTGCTCGTATTCCAGTCGCGCATCTTCTTGAACCCATATTCGAGCAGGAAATTCCCCCCTCCCCAACCATTTGGCGCGCATCCATTACCACAGTCCAAGTCTTGCTGGCAAGCATCTCGACTCCCATGACCACACACTCCTGTGCCCCGACTCTGCAGCCCATGGCCCACTTGACCGATTCACTCATTGTACCGCCAATCACAGCGCCCTCATTGCCCCCAGCACTCTCAATTTATCCTTTCTGCGGACCCGTTTGAACGACTTGTTGATTCTGCCAACGTTGCCTGAGCGCGCGCTGGGATTGCCAAACCTTCCCAGGATGTGTTCCTGGCCTACCTGAGATATACGACGTGTCCGTCCATGCAAATGCGTGTCGAGGAAGATGAAGGATCATGCCATGATCAAGTCAGCTATTGCTCCCGCTCGGATGAACAAATGCTTCAGGTTCTCGGATCACGGCATTCGGGCACTGAGCCATTTTTTGTGGCATTTGGCCATACACGTTTGCCAACGATTGCAGCTTCGGCACAGCCTCGTCGAACCATGCCTACGGACACAAGCAGCAACCCAGACACCATCGCTCGCGCACTTTGCAGTTGCACAGACTATCACAGATTGCATTCCAGCTTTTAAAGTGACATTGAGCCGGGGAAAGGCGAAGGAAGGGTGACGTCCAAGCAACCAAACTGGAGCGCCTTGACTCATCGCGGAGGCAAAAGAGGATGGCGAGAAAAGCTTCTCGCTCTCCTCATACCACATCTGCTCGCATGCTTTGCCGCTTCCCCTCGAACTGCTCAGAGCCAAACGAGGTTGAGGTCGCTTAAGCACTTTACATCTTCGCCTTTTGCTGAGACTTGAGCACACCGTCAAGCTTAGTGGCGAGCATGATGTTGCCCTTCCTGTGTCACCAAACGTTGCACAATAGTCAGAATCATCGGACCACGTGCATGGTCTCCAAGGGCGGGCAATGCATCTCCAGCGCAATACTCACACCTTCAGCTTGCCGGACATGAAGGCCTTTTGGCCGTTGACCTTGCCGTCGGCCATGTCCATGAAGGCTGAGTGAATGCATGAACATCACGGAACAGTGTCAAAAAGCGATTCTACCGTGGGCGCACAATCGTGCATTTGCAGTAACTGGGTGACCACACTCACTGTCATCAGTGCAGTTGATGGTGACGTCAGCCTTGCCCTTTGCCTTGCCCTCGTAAGACTCGGCGTTCTGTTCAAGGCAAGAATGACGAAGGAGTGAGCGAACAATGCTCTGCGAGCGCGGCAAAGGAGGGCCTCTGACTGGCATGCATGGCCGAACCAACAAGCAGTTCCGAGTAGCAAACTCACCTTCTTGAGGTCAATGGTGTGAACGTACTCCTTGCCAGCGCCGTTCTTGATGTGGAGCTCGAAGACACCGTTGGTCTTCTACTCGTCGGATTTGCGGGCGCAAAGGCGTGAAGAGAGAGTGGAGAGCGGAAAGGATCAGAGGTGAGCAAAGGTGACCCTTATCATTGCTCGAGTGGGTGTGCGATTTATATAAGCGCAACCTGCAGAGCACCCTCCTACACAATCGGAGAAGAGTCGAGGAATGATGCCAAAGAAGGGAGAAGGGTCTCCGAGAGCCGCTCGATACTGCTGAGATTCTCAGCGCTGAGGGGGGGAGCGCCAGGGCTGAATCTCGTTTCGGAGCCGGAGCTTGGCCCGGTGTCGTCCTCGAGGGAGGCGAGATCTCATCACAAGGCCGCCCGTCCGAGCGCCATCTCCACCGACGACCAGACTGTGTGAAGTCGAAACTCACCTTTTGGATGTCCTTCTTCTCCTTGTCGGACATGCCGTTGAGACCCTCAGTGATCTGGTCGAACAAAGCCTTGGACTTGAAGTCTGACATTTTGACTCGATGTGTGCGTGGGTGGGGGGTGAAAGTGTTTTGAGAGCTGTGAGCTTTTGGGGGGAAGTAATCTTGCGTAGAGGATGGTGTGGATGGGGAAGGGGATGAGGGGCATGAGCGAGCATGTTGTCGGCTTTTAGCGCATCCGCACACTCAACGACTCACGAGCGCTTGCAGAGAAGAGCCATGAGCCAGCCAGCCAGCCAGCCCACGCACTGCGCAAGACGTTGCAAAGCGCGGCGAGCGTTGGTTGGGCTTTCAGCAGCGGGCGGGGCTGGTGTAAGCAATGTCTATGCGATGCGCCTTTGCGGGGGAGCATGCGGGGGGCGCTGGAGAAAGGCGGGTCAGACGCCTGGG